GAGAAACGAGCAACTTTTGTGGTATTTTGAGCTGATTAATTTGCTGAAAAGGGCACGATTTGAATTGAAAATGTGCTCCGGTTGTTGCTGCTTCACTCGGATGTTCGAGAGCAGAGTTTAAAACGGTAGCTCGGCTGCTTTAAAGCGTGTCAGCTGCTTATCGATAGACGCCGTCTGCATCTCCAGTTAAAGAATCAGAGGCAACTGCTGGCGGGGAAGTTGAGGAAATGTAGGAGAAGGGTCTGCCTGACAGTAAAGATAAAGCTGTGAGAATATTCTAAATATAGCTCGAACAGATAGTGGACTTCTTATTAGGCGGCTGAAATACGTTTTGCTGCTGACCCGGTTCACAGCAGCACGTAGATGAGCTTCAGTGAGCCGACTGTGATCTGCTGGAGGTAGAGAAGCACTCAGACATCCTCACTGTTGCTTTCAGATGTGAAGGTACAAGCAGCAGTTTAGGACGTCACAACTCACCTGTAAACCAGCCGTCATCCAATCTGCAACTTGCACGAGCATAATGTAGATTTTTTGGGCATATTTTTGTCTTCAGACGTGTTCCAGGCGCCTCAAAATCTACATCAAGCGTCTTTATCGCAGTTGTATTTGTTTTCTTGAAGCAGTTTTCAGACGAGACTCGAAGCCTGTTGGATGAGACGATGCTTCAGAAGTGGAGCAGCGAATGTTCAAGTCGTTCTGCGTGTGCTTCTCATCATGAGCTTCGTCTGCCTCGTGCACTGACAAATCATTTCTCTTGTTTTAGTAAAATTCAATCTGAACGGCAGATAAAGGGATGTTTGTTCAGAGAACTCTGGAGTGTTTGGCTTTTTATTCATAAAACCCAAAGTTAAAGGAATTTTCACCGTTGAATATTTTTTCAGATTAGAAAAAAACAGCTTCAGAACAAGGACATGAAAAGTGAATTTCAGGTTAAAGCTGGTCGTCTGTAGATACTGAGGCTGCACCATATTAAAAGACACTAGCACTGCAATACTATTCTGTTGTAGATGTTGTGATAGACTGTAAAAATAAAAATAGAAAATAAAATTAATAGTTTTTAAATGTGCTTTTTTGAACCCTTAACTGTTATCTTACAGATGTTCCCTGTTTTGTTAAATTACAGATATTAAGTAGTAACATCACAGAAGAATATTAATATTGAACTGTTTACTGTAAAACAAAAAATCCACATTTTTTACTTACTTATTTATTCATGTATTTATATACTTACTTATTTATTGTTTGTGGTTTGCTCTTTTATTACGTTTGACCAAAAAAATAATAGATATTTAAAATTGTTGAAAAAGACAAAGATATATAGATATATGTTGTTTTTTATAGTTATTTTAGAAATTTTCATTTTGTTTTTAAATGATAGATAATATCTAGTAAAATCAGACATTTTAAAAAAATTTGCATGTTTACTGCAAAAACTATAAAAACCTGCTAAAACTGAATAATGTCCACATCAGAAATTTTTACAAATATTTGTTCTTTTACAATCTATCACAGTACAATTACTGTTTTTAAATTGTTGAATTGAAAAATAATATCTTATAGATATTTGCTGTTCTCTTCACACTTTTTAGTTTTTTAAACATTACAGTTTTCCACCATTTTTAAAAAATACTCTCTTTTGCACCCTTGCTGCCAGATTACACAGATTTTTTTTTTCAGTGTGAAAAAATGCAGAAATCTTCACCAGATGGTTTGAATAATTCGATTCTACTATCTGCTCTGTGCAAACACGGCAAGAAATCCCAGAATTTTTGTCACATGACTGTTGTTTGCAGCCAAGTCACAAACGGCTCCTCTATTGTGCCAAGGAGCTCAGAATTATTTTAGTTTTTTACAGAATGTAGTTCGAGCAAATGGTTGTTTATTTTTGGCTTTTTTAAAAAAGCAATGCCACATGTAGAATGAAGTGACTTTGATGAATTATCCCATTTTCATGTTTAAATTTGTTTAAGTTTTATGACACAACGCTGTGTCACAGATGATTAGTTGAAGATCTGCTGAAA